TGCTCTTTAATCCCAGCAGCTCTGACCCACCCCACTCCCCAAACCCAATAGCACGCAGTTAATTTTTACAGCTACTTTACCTTGGTCTCTTTAATCAAGCAGATTGCATTTACGGATCAGAGAGGATATTGGGGCAGGGGAGGGAAGAATGTAGGGCTGGCTTCCTTGCCGAGACCAGAGCCCTTCAGAGGAGCTCCTCATGGCAGAAAAACAACCTTGTTACCAGGATTTGGTACTGAGACAGATAGACTCCTTCTTGCCCAATTGCTTAATAATTGGGTAGGGGGCTATAGAGTAAAGGGCTTCCCCAGTAGCTCAGTGGTAAAAGAACCTGTCTGCAATTCAGGAGATGTGGGTTTGCTACTTGGGTCAGGAAGATCCCCTGGAGAAGGGAGTGGCAACTCACTCCAGTATTATTGCCAGGATAATCCCGTAGATAGAGGAATCTGGTGGGCTATACGCTCGCAAAAAGTCAGACATGGCTGAACGACTGAATACACACCCACACACACACACACCCCACACACACATAGACAGAGTACACTTTTTTTAAAGGGAAGTAGTATTTACTTAATCCTGTAATAGATAAATCATGAAAATAGAGGATTAACAGATACTGTCTCCTCCGATTTCTTTTTTCCCATAGTTGTGAAAACACTTAACATAAGATGTACCTTATTTACAAAATTTAAAGTGTACGATACAGTATTGTTAACCATAGGCCATACTGTACAGCAGGTCTCAAGTATGCTTTTTTTTTTAAAAAGTTGAAGCATAATATACACAGACAAGGGTGCAGAATTATAACTGTACAACTTGATGTATTTCTCAAAGTAAATGTATCCATGAACCTCTCATGTAGATCAAGAAATGGAACATTAACCTGTGCCCCAGAAAGTCCTCCTTTTGCCCTCTCTAAGTCCCTACAGGATGAGGAATTTTTTGTTTTTATTAATCCCAAACTAGATTTAATTTTTAAATTTCCTGTGGAAATAGTGCTAAAGGAAATTTCTATTTCATGGTTCAGTTCAGTTCAATCGCTCAGTTGTGTCCGACTCTTTGTGACCCCATGGACTGCAGCACGTCAGGCTTCCCTGTCCATCACCAACTCCCGGAGCTTGCTCACACTAACACTTGCCCTGCCACCCCCTGAAACTACTGCTCTGATTTGCTGTTTATTATTTTTATGCATATTTTCATACTTCCCCTGTACATGTGAAGTGATGTGAAGTGAAGTGAATTGAAAGTCGCTCAGTCATATCTGACTCTTTGTGACCCCAAGGAATTCTCCAGACCAGAATACTGGAGTGAGTAGCCATTCCTTTCTCCAGGGGATCTTCCCAACCCAGGGATCGTACCCAGGTCTCCCACATTGCAGGTAGATTCTTTACCAACTTAGCCACCAGGGAAGCCCCCCCATACATGTATGTATTCTTAAATAATATAGTATCTATTGTTTTTCATTAGTCAGTTCAGTTCAATTCAGTCCAGTCAGTCAGTCGTGTCTGACTCTTTGCGACCCCATGAACTGCAGAATGCCAGGCCTCTCTGTCCATCACCAACTCCCAGAGTTTACCCAAACTCATGTCCATTGAGTTGGTGATGCCATCCAACCATCTCATCCTCTGTCATCCCCTTTTCCTGCCTTCAATCTTTCCCAACATCAGGTCTTTTCAAATGAGTCAGCTCTTTGCATCAGGTAGCCAAAATATTGGAGTTTCATCTTCAACATCAGTCCTTCCAATGAACACCCAGGACTGATCTCCTTTAGGATGGACTGGTTGGATCTCCTTGCAGTCCAAGGGACTCTCAAGAGTCTTCTCCAACACCACAGTTCAAAAGCATCAATTATTCTGAGCTCAGCTTTCTTTATAGTCCAACTCTCACATCCGTACATGACTACTGGAAAAACCATAGCCTTGACTAGATGAAACTTTGTTGACAAAGTAATGTCTCTGCTTTTTAATATGCTGTCTAGGTTGGTCATAACTTTCGTTCCAAGGAGTAAGTGTCTTTTAATTTCATGGCTGCAGTCACCATCTGCAGTGATTTTGGAGCCCAAAAAAAGAAAGTCAGCCACTGTTTCCACTGTCTCCCCATCTATTTGCCGTGAAGTGATGAGACTGGATGCCATGATCTTAGTTTTCTGAGTGTTGAGCTTTAAGCCAACTTTTTCACTGTCCTCTCTCACTTTCATCAAGAGGCTCTTTAGTTCTTCTTCATTGTTTTGCATTAAGCAAACTCTAAAAATATCACCTTTCACGTATTACACTGAATTATCTGTTTCTTCTGATGTTTGCAAATTGTCTAAGTCTGTAAATGTTTAGTTAATTTTAAAAATTATTTATTTACTTATTTACATTTTGGCTGTGCTGGCTCTTGGTTGCTGCGCAGTCTTTTCTCTGGTTGCAGGAGCGGGGGCTACACTCCAGATGCAGTGTGTGGGCTTCTCTTGTGGAATACAGCCCCTAGGGCACGCCGGCTTTAGTGGTTTGCGGGTGGGTTCAGTAGTTGCAGCTCCTGGGCTCTAGAGCACAGGCTGAATAGTTGTGTAACAAGGACTTAGTTGCTTCTTGTCAGTGAGATCTTCCTGGCCCAGGTATCAAACCTGTGTCTCCTGTGTTGGAAGGCGAATTCTTTACCACTAGCACCACCTGGGAAGTCCTCTGAAAAAGCTTATTTTTAGAAGGGCTGGTGGCTCAGATAGTCAAGAATCTGCCTGCAGTGTGGAGACCTGGGTTCGATCCCTGGATCTGGAAGATCCCCTGGAGAAGGAAAAAGCAACCTGCTCCAGCATCCTTGCCTGGAGAATCCCCATGGATAGAGGAGCCTGGTGGGCTACAGTCCATGGGGTTGCAAAGAGTCAGAAATGACTGAGCGACTAGGCACACACACTCCTGTCTCCAGCGTGTTTCATCCAGCGATTTCCCAAGTAACTGTTCATCTCTCCCCTCTAGACTTAAAAAACAAACAGTGTACATTGGTAAATAATGAAACTCTTTTACTGCTAAATATTGGCCACATTGGATAGAGTAACCTGCCCTGAGTGGTACTGCAGTACCTACGGAATCGAGGGTAATTCAGTAGAACGCTGGTTCATTCTCTGATACTGATTAAACCCTTTGCAGAATTGAAGCAAGATTAAACTACTTGGACTGTGCAACTGAAGAAGATAATCTAATGATCATTCAAGAACTTACTTTAGTGCTCTCATTCTTAAGGTGGTTAGGTATTAGCTTTGCTTTGGGCAAAAATGAAAGAAAAACCACCCCAAATCCCAAAAGTAAAATCAGAAAACTTGAGTAAGTTTTAGTAAGTAAGTGTAAGGATTCTAAACACTTTCCCAACTGCTCTCCATCCCCATTTTATAAAGAAGGACACCAAGTTACGTGACTTACCAGTTACACCTGGACGTAGAGCTGCCTGGTGGTTGTCCTAATAGAACCTGACTTTGAACTTCACATCCTCTTTATTTTCTACTCCATTATGCTGCAGTTCTTTAAAAAAAAAGAAAATGGGTATATTATAGCTTGTTCTTTAGATGTACATCCAAGTTCTCCAGCAGGTAGATAACATAGCTCCCTCCACTGTCCTTACTGATTTCCTAGGAAATGGAAAAGGGAGGAAATCAAAGGCAATCTTCTTTCAGGGAATTTAACATCTTAATTCTTGACTTTTCTAATTAAAGTTGGACATAAATTTGTTTGTGATATGCCCCATAGGGACAGATGGACAGCCATGTCACTGTGTATGCAGCTACTTTTTATTCTGTGAAGATCTTCTCATTTATTATTTTTATTACGTGGTTAGAACTGGGTAGTATTAGTCGTTTTTCAATTTAACAAACTTATGCTACTTTGAAAAGTCTTTGAATTATTTTCTTTATGGGAGGTACAATAAACAGTATAAAGAGGAAAACCCAGCAGCCCAGAGTAACCTCTTAATTTTTTTCTTCTTGACATTTTTACTGTGTATATATTTCATAGAATTGAGTAAACCAGAGTTTTAGATCCTGACTTTTTCACTTAACATTATAATTTTTTTCTTTTAATGGATGCACTATATTGTGTTGTCTGGATTGATTATAATGGAAAATGCTACAGTAAACACTCTTGCCTGCATTTCTGATTGTTTTCTTATGACAGTTTCCTAGAATTGGAATTATAATCATCAACAAAACTACTTTTAGTCTCTTATGCCAAACAGATTTTGACAAGATTGCTCCTTAACTGACTGCCTGAAACCAAGCGTTCAGAGTTAAACAGCACAAGCATAGGACAAGCTGACATCAGTGCCTCTCTTGCATGATTTACTGAAAATAATGCAGTTCCAAACTCGTACAAATTGAGTATGAGAATACCTGTGTCATTTCCGTCTTTGAATTTTATCATTAAACAAACATGCTGCTGACTTGACCACGTGAACAGGCCACTGTGTCTGATTTCACATTTCTTTGATGACTAAAAAAGGCATTGAATATTTATTAACTATTTATGTTGTTTCTGTGAATTCAGTTCATGAAGTTTGCTTATTTTTTTTTCAGGAGCCTATGTTTTTCTTATTAAATAATTTTTACAAATTAAAAACATCAACATTTGCTATTTATGAAAAATACATTTTGCCATTTTGCTTACTTTCTGGCTTTATAGCTTTTTACTGGGGAAAATATAAACCTTTGTTTCTACACAATCTAGGTCTGTACTTGGGGGAGAGTTTGTTTCTGTGAGTTCTTTTGCTGATGATACATAGGGATGAATGCAAGCAAGAGAGTTACTGAGGACGAGATTCCTCTGTAATGAATTGAAATCATCGGATAGAAGCCGTTTCATGCAGACTCAGTGATTTTGCCCCTTTTCTCACTGCAGTTGCTTATCCTTTATTTCTGAAATCTGCTTCATGTTACCCATTAGATGTATTTGCCTTCTGCATAAAGTAGTCTCTTTGATCAGTTGTTCTTCTGTCCTATGGCGTTTTCTCATGTCCTGATGCTTTCTTTTAAGGTATTATCCAAAGAGATGAGTCACCCATGGAAAAAGGGCTGTCTGGTCTGCGAGGAAGGGACTTTGAGCTGTCTGACGTGTTTTATTTCTCCAAGAAGGGGTTGGAAGCCATTGTGGAAGACGAAGTGACCCAGAGGTTCTCCTCAGAGGAGCTAGTGTCATGGAATCTCCTCACAAGGACCAATGTAAATTTCCAGTACATCAGTCCTCGGCTCACCATGGTGTGGGTGCTGGGCGTCATTGTGCGCTACTGTTTTCTGCTGCCTCTGAGGTACGTCTCCCTGCCAGTAACTTGATGATGGTACAACTGGCGCAGCTTTCATTTTATGTACTTAAGATTTTTTTTTTTGAGGTGTACCATTTTAAAGTCTTTATGGAGTTTGTTACGTTATTGCTTCAACTTTATGGGCTTTTTTTTTTGCCATGGGGCATGTGGGATATTAGCTTCCTGACCAGGGATCGAACCTGCACACCCTGCATGGGAAGGCGAAGTCTTAACTGCTGGACCACCAGGGAAGTCCCCCAGCTTTCTTTTTAAATTATGTATGTAGTGATCACATGAGGGTATTAATGGCAGTGATCCCACCCCTTCCCGTTTTTAGTAGAAAACACCATTGAATGTGACCTCCACAGAGACATATTATCTCTTCTCTCGCATCTTCCCCAAATGAAAGTGTGTATTCAGAATCTAGTATATATCCATCTGGATCCATGTTGCTTTCTTAGTCATAGATAATTTGAGGATGGATTTTCAATGTTGTTGAGTCGCAAAGTGGTGTCTGACTCTTTGTGACCCCATGGACTGTAGCCTGCCAGGCTTCTCTGTCCCTGGGATTTCCCAGGCAAGATTACCGGAGTAGGTTGTCATTTCCTCCTCCAGGGGATCTTCCCGACCCAGGGATCGAACCCATGTCTTCTGCATTAGCAGGTGGATTCTTTACCACTGAGCCACCCAGGAATCCCTGAGGATGGATAGAAAAGGGAAGTTAGAAAAAAGAAGGGAAAGTATGTACAGCTTCATGTCCACCAGAGTGTCATCCAAACTGTGATTGCCTCTCTTCACTGGTCTGTAGCAGTTCATAACTGCACAGGAGAGAAAAAAATTCCTGAGAGTGGTTACCACACGGGAGAGAGATATATGGGAGGGTGAATTTGTTCCACCTCGTTCTATTTTGATCTCTCTCTTTTGTATTAAAAGTTCCCCAGTTGGGTCCCCTTTGTTCTAAGTGAGGGTGCCTCCTCATGAGGAGTTAGCCTCAAAGCCCAGTTTCCTGGAGCCACAGTGTGGAGTGTAAGTAGAAAAAGTGATGAAGCAGGACAAGCCGGGCGGCGGGAGGAAGTGGCAGATGTCTCTTTAGTATGATGGTGGCAGGTGGAAACACGGCTGCCAGGCATGACATTGTCGCTGATGGTCTTGCTTCATTCCCCTGGATGTGGCCTTGGTGTACTCTCAATAGGGCTTTCCAGGGAGTTACTACCAGCCAACTAAAATTGGCATGTGAGTTGAAATGTCTTGACCACCCCTAGGGTGGCCTATCCTTGCCTCACTCAGATTTATTACAAGGAAAGAGGTTTCTTAAGTGTAGGCAAAGGCACATTTCTACCAAGCTGTTTCTCTTTTCTTGCCCTCTTGTTGCCAGTGTCTAGATGGTGGGGGTAGGAGGGAGAGGAGGGGAGAGAAAAAAATGAGATGGTGGAGGTATCTTTGGGGAATCATTTCAGCTGTGATAACAGAGTGAAATTCGGACATACTTGCTTGAACATTAAGTTGGTGTTCCCAAAGTGGAGTTCATGTTCTCTGGGGACACAGAAGATTGTCCTTTGGTGGGTAAAAAGGAAATGGTTCTGCTTTGAGTTTCCCTGGTGGCTCAGTGGTGGAGAATCCACCTGCTGGTGCAGGAGACACAGGTTCGATCCCTGAGCCAGGAGGGTCCCACATGCTTCGGGGAAACTAAGCTCTTGAGCCACAGCTATTGAGCCTGTGCTCTGGAGCCGGGACCTGCATCTGCCTAGCCCATATACGGCAATAGCTAAAGCCTCCATGTACCCTGGAGCCCATGTTCCGCAAGAAGAGAAGCTGCTGCAGTGAGGAGCCTGCATACCACAACTAGAGTAAACCCACGCATCCAAGAAGACCCAGCACAACCAAACAAAAAAAAATAGTTCAACTTTTATTTATTGGAAGTTTCTAGTCTGTTTATAATTAGCACCTTCCATTGATATTATTTTATTTTTATAAAGAAATGAAATTTCAGCAAAGTTGAATAATATATAGATGAGCTCTTACATCGTCACTTGCTCAATTGGTCAGACACTGTATCCAAGGCAACCTGAAGAAAGAGTGAGGATTTTACAGTCCAGGGTGCTTGAGATGCTCTCCTCTGTTGGTTAGCTTCCACTTGCTGGAGGTGCCAACCAAATAGTGATATGATTCTGTTACCTGGTTTAAATTACACTCGTAAAATAAGTACATGACATAAAAGATTCTTGCAAAGAAACCACAGATTTAGGATAATCGAGTAACGTAAGCACCCAAGAAAATAAGAAAATGGCAGAATTGAAGCTCCTCCTCTTAGTACCTACTCTTCATGTGAAAGAATTACTTTCTAAGTACTTTTTAGAAGAAGCAGTTTGAACAACTTGTGGACGTTGGGGGAAGGAGAGTGGGACAAGTTGAGAGAGCAACATTGACATAGTTTATAAAATAGCTAGTGGGAAGCTGCTCCTAGCCCAGGGAGCTCAACAGAGCTCAGCTGCTCTGTGATGACCTAGAGGGGTGGGATGGGGGTGGGGGGCTGGGGGAGGGGCTCAGGAGGGGATATATGGATACTTAGAGCTGATTTACATTGTTGTATAGCAGAGACCAACGCATCATTGTAAAGCAATTATACTCCAATTAAAAAAAAAGTAGTTTCTACAAAGTGAGCATTTAAAACACAGATGGTGCTAAAATTGATTGCGTTGATGGTGGTATAACTCTGTGAATGTGCCAAAAACCATTGAATTGCCACTTTTAAGTAGGTGAATTGTATGACATGTGAATTGTATCTCACTAAAGTTCTTTAGCAAAACAGATGTGCCAGAAAACTTGTGTCATCTTTGAGAATTCTCACGTTGGCTCACTGACACTGGAAAACAGAATTTTCTGTTAATTTAGCAAATTAAAATGTTCAGTAGTTTTCAACCCAGCTGTGAAGTGTGTTAAAATATATGACCTCTTCTGATTTAATGTGTAGGAGCAAATGATTCATTATGTAAGATGGCAGTATTTTAAAACTTGTGTAACTGATGGATGAGATTAAGCAGTCCTTTAGTTATTGCGTTAGTGGCTGGTGTGAAAATATGGTGTCCAAAGAAAATGAAACAAACCTTCAAACTGCAGTCTCAAAAGGTATTAAACCAAGATTTTAGCAAGGTTTAAAACCTTAACAAAGAATTTATAAGGAAGCCCTATTTATCTTGAAAGATTTAAAATCTCAGCCTTTTCTTTTCGAGTAATTCTATTTACATTTCTAAAAACAACTATTTTCTTTTTGAAGTGATTGGCCCAGATATTAAAAGCACTTTTTAAAAATTAGAAAGTGTCTGTTGAGATGAGAGGTCCTGTCTGCCACCCTGTTTGCTAACTTCTGAGCTATTTAGAACTTCACAAGGGTACAGCAGTTAAATTTACGTGGAAAAAAATAATGTGCTGTTTTTATTATGAAGGAACCTTTAAGTAAAACTTCCTTGCCATTTGCTATACATTTTAAATTTCTTTGAGGAAAATTGGAATTTTTCCCTTTTGTCCCCATGATTAAAAATTAGCCTGATGCTGGGAAAGATTGAAGGCAGGAGGAGAAGGGGACAACAGAGGATGAGATGGTTGGATGGCATCACCGACTCAATGGACATGAGTTTGAGTAAACTCTGCGAGTTGGTGATGGACAGGGAGGCCTGGCGTGCTGTGGTCCATGGGGTCGCAGAGTCGGATTACACTGAGTGACTGAACTGAACTGAACTGAACTTAGAAAATACAGGAAAACAAGTTATTTTTAGAACTTTGCAAGGTATTTTCTTTTATAGCCTCACCAGGCCACACCAGGCCACACCAGAATAACTACTTTCAACCCAAAATGACTCCTTTCTACATTATGTGAAAGGAAAAAAAAGTGAAAGTGTTAGTCACTCAGTCCTGTCTGATTTTTTGCCACCCCTGGACTGTAGCCCACCAGGCTCCTCTGTCCACCGGGATTGTCCAGACAATAAGACTGGAGGGGGTGGCCATTCCCTTCTCGAGGGGATCTTCCTGACTCAGGTCTTGAACCTGGGCCTCCTGCATTGCAGGCAGATTCTTTACCGTCTGAGCCACCAGGGAAGCTTTATATATTGTACAAGAAGTTAATATGAGTGACATATGTACTCCATGTGTAAACTAGATACTAGTGGGAAGAACAGGGAACTCAACTCAGTGCTTTGTGATGACCCCTAGGGGGAGGAAGGCTCAAGAGAAAGGGGGGATGCATGTATACTTATAGCTGATTCACTTTGTTATAGAGCAGAAATGAACAGAACATTGTAAAACAATTATATGCTAATAACATTTAAAATTTAAATATGAATATATATTTTTTTAATTAAAAAATACTTCGGAAAAGCAGAAGAGCAAGATTTTATTCTCTTCACTAGCCAGATCAACGCTTTGATAATTGCATAGACTGAATGTGGCAGTTTTGTGAACTAATTTCCAGGTCTGCTGTATACATCTGTAAGCTGGTTATGTGCTTGCTGTTATTTTGAAAATGGTGTCAAACCCTACACAGTATTTTGAAAGTTATGCTGCTTTTTTTCCTCTCAAAATGTACCACGAACCATTCTTCTGTGTCAGAATCTATAGATTTGCATGATTCTTTGAATGCATCATATTTTGTAGTGTGGATTCTCCACAGCTTACTTGTGGTTTTGTTATTCATGAATTTTATGTTCCTTCTCTTTTCCCCCTGCTGTTCAACTAGCTTTTGCATTACCTTTTCTTTTCTCTTTCAGGCTTACCTTGGCTTTCATTGGGATCAGTTTGTTTGTTATAGGAACCACCCTGGTTGGACAGCTGCCGAGAAGCAGGTGAAATGTTTTTTTTTTCCTCCCAGCCATTTAATAGGATTGTCCCTTTGCTTTCTTTTTAAATTTTTTTAAAAAAAGTTTTCTGGCCATGCTGCATGGCATGGGGGATCTTAGTTCCCTGACCAGGGATTGAACCTGTGCCCTTGCCTTGAAAGTGTGGTGTCTTAACCACTGGACCACCAGGGAAGTCCTGGATTGTTCCTTTTCTTAGCTGTGTCCACAAAGAGAATATTTGTGTGATTCCTGTGTACTGCCTCAAATTTATGGCCTTAGCACATGTATTAAAATGCTGCTCATTTCATCTTCAGAGTCTCTAAGTGATTTTCCATCATGCTTTCATTTAAATTGACTGAAGTTGCTCTTACAAAAGAGAAAATGAAGAGGAGGAGGGAGGAAATGGACTGAGCGATTCAAGGAACATAAGAGACTCTTGTAGGATCGTCAAGCTTGTGAGGCCAAGACCATAGATGCCTCAGCTTATCTTGGTCAAGGATTTGTCATGATGGGAACCATTTTCCAGTAGAGTTTTGTCCTAAATGCCTCAGTGGGCGGAGGAAGCAATGGCAATCCACTCCAGTACTCTTGCCTGGAAAACCCCTTGGACGGAGGAGCCTGGTGGGCTACAGTCCATGGGGTCACTAAGAGTCAGACATGACTGAGCGACTTCACTTTCACTTTTCACTTTCATGCATTGGAGGAGGAAATGGCAACCCACTCCAGTGTTCTTGCCTGGAGAATCCCAGGGACGGGGGAGCCTGGTGGGCTGCTGTCTATGGGGTCGCACAGAGTTGGACATGACTGAAGCGACTTAGCAGCAGCAGCCTCAGTGGGACCTTGAGAATTGAACTGTGCTCGTATTTCAGCACATAGTATGCTGCTGGGAAGGAACACCCTGGAGCTTTGATTGTGTTGTTTCATAGGAGAGCCCAGAGCTGCACAATAAAATGTTTTGTCTCCTTTAGCCTCAAAAACCTGCTGAGTGAAGTGGTCCACCTGACTTGCTGCCGCATCTGTGTCCGTGCCCTCTCCGGAACCATTCACTATCATAACAGGTGAGTGTGTACCGCTTTCATACCTGCTTTCTCAGGTCAGGTCAGTGTGATTGACAGGAGTGGGTGGGGGAAAACAAGGGAAGTAAGAGTACTTCCGGAGTGTTCATCGGAGTGTTCATCTCTACCGTGTAGAGCGTCAGAGACATAAAAATGCACCTGAACACTTTCAGAAGCATCCAGGGACTTCCCTGGTGGTCCAGTGGTTAAGAATCCACCTTCTAGTGCATGGGCGTGGCTTCAGTCTCTGAACTAAGATCTCACATCCCGCAGGGCAGCCAAGCCCGCACACCACAACTAGAGAAGCCCGAGTGCTGTAACAAAGACCCAGGACAGCGAGCACCAGCCCACCCAAAAAAGCAATCCATTTGCAGAAGGAACATGACCATAAACATGTCATGACACCTAATAATTGGGCATTCATGGTGTGCAGGCCTGGCCTGTGATTCTTTCTCCTAGGTCATCTCTAAGAGAAGGTGCTATTATACCGTTTTACAGGTGAAGAAGTGGAAGCTCCAGGATTGGTTGTCTAGGGTCACGTGCCTAGTAAATGTCAGAGTTAGGTTTGGAATGGGGTTAATTAAAATTTTTTTTTAAATGGTGAGGGTGATAGGGATGTAGAATGGTGGAAAGAGGACTAGACTTGGAATTCTGAGGCTGGTTTCTAGTCTCAGCCTTGCCAGCTTCTAAAATCCCAGCACTGAGCTGAAAATAGAACCTAGCTTTTTGCTTCATCAGGGGGGAGAAAGGTGGTAAATGAAGTCATTAACCACCTGAAGTTTGTTTTGATTGTTTTTGAATTGCTTTTCTGTAAATTCAGTTTTTTTATACTTAGTATCATTAGTTTAAAAATTCTAGGACAAACATCTCTTTTCTACTGACTAGATCTTTTTTTTAAATTAAAAAAGATTTTATCTTTTAAAGTTTACTTTCTACTTACAGTTATTACAAAATGTTAGCTATATTCCCCTTGTACATTATATCCTTGAGCTTATCTTACATCTAAGAATTTGTACCCGCCACTCCCTCACCCCTGTATTGCCCTCCCACTCCTTACACTTATAACCATTGGTTTGTTCTCTGTATCCATGTGACTGGATCTTTCTGGCTAATTTGTAGAAGGAAAACATGTCATCATTTGGCTTTGCCAAATGTGTTACCAACTTAAAAGCTCTCTTAAATTTCTAAAATTGCATGACTTTTGTGATTGGGCTGTAAGTTTTGGGGCAATATGAGAAGATAATGTTTTGGTAGAAGTGTGATCAAAGGAAACACCTTCTTCAGAAATAAAATGAAAATGAAATATTAGTCACTCAGTCGTGTCTTGACTCTGCGTTCCCATGGACTGTGACCCACCAGGCTCCTCTGTCATGGAAATCTCCAGGCAAGAATACTGGAGTGAGTTGCCATGCCCTTCTCCAGGGGATCTTCCTGGCCCAGGGATCAAACCCTGGTCTCCTGCATTGCAGGCAGATTCTTTACCATCTGAGCCATCAGGGAAGCCCCTTCTTCGGAAAAGGTGCTTTAATTACATAGAGAGGAGGTCACAGCTTATTGTAGAATTGCTTCTAATTTTAAGGAAAACTTGCTGAAGTTGTTATGCATTTTGTTCCCTTTCTTCTCTGTTTGGCTCAAAGAAAACTACTTTGCTTCAGTAGTGTCAAATACTGCTTAAACTTTGGGACAGAGGTCGGCACACCAAACTATGAGCCTGTAGGCCGAACGTGGTCCATCCTCTGGTTTTTGTAAATTAAGTTTTATTGGAACACAACCATGCTCATTCATTTATGTATTATCTGTAGCTGCCACTGTGCCACAACAGCACAGTGTCCAGAGTTTTGACCGGGATTGGCTGGCTTGCAAACCCTAGAGTATTTACTGTCTGGGCTTCCAAGGAAAAGTTTGCCAACTTCTGCTTTAGGGAGATAAGGTGAAGGAAACTACAGTACATTTACTCTGGATCACTCTGAAGCAACTGAAAGTAATATTTATGAAGATGGAGATAATACAAAAATACTTAGGATAAAATAAGGAAAGCTTACATGTCACAAAGTTTATTAAAGTGATGGAATCTTTTGTATTGATAATTCAGTCTAATATTTAAAAGTGTTTTCATTCTAAAAGGACAATATGATCAATACAGAAAAGCGATATAAGTATGTGTAAAGGGAAAATCATGGGCCCCCCTCCTCGTATACTCTTACCCCCTCCCATCGTACTGCCTAGAGACAACCCTTTAAAGATGAGCCCACATATTTGAAAGTTTATTTATTTTTTTTAGTGTTCTTTAAGAAATAAAATAGCATGAATTTCTCCAGGTGTATTGTGAGTTAGTTGCTCAGTGGCAATCAGGATCTCAGTTGATAAAATTTGGCTGATGGACTATGGTCCATCTAACATGACTCTTTGTGACATTCATCATGTTCTTAGGGATTCAGTCTTAAATATTCAGCCTAATATTTTTTGTGTTTTTTTATAAATTCACAAATTCACAAAGGTACACATGGAGAAAAAATTATTATAAAAAATAGAGTTGTGTCCGACTCTGTGACGCCACGGACTGTAGCCCACCAGGCTCCTCTGTCCATGGAATTCTCCAGGCAAGAATACTGGAGTGGGTAGCCATGCCCTTCTTCAGGGGATCTTCCTGACCCAGGGATCACACCCGGGTCTCTTGCATCGAAGGTGGATTCTTTATCGTCTGAGCTACTGTGGAAGTTGCTCTTTTGTAAAATAGTGGTCATTTTTCAATGTTTAGTATTAACCATTGTATGTAATTGCAGGCAGTACAGGCCCCAGAAGGGAGGCATTTGTGTTGCCAACCATACATCCCCAATCGATGTTTTGATCTTGACCACGGATGGGTGCTATACTATGGTAAGAACAGCTCACTGGTATTTCAAGTACTTGCATGTTCTGTGGATTATTCAGACTTTTTATTTTGGCACAAATTAGAAAGTTAGTTTTATATTAGAAAGTGACTGGATTATACTATATAAGTAAGTCTGTAAATTATTAATACCTAGTCGCTTCAGTCATGTCCGACTCTTTGTGACCCCATGGACTGTAGCCTGTCAGGCCCCTCTGTTCATGGGGATTCTCCAGGCAAGAATACTGGAGTGGGTTGCCATGCCTTCTTCCAGGGGGTCTTCCCAACCCAGGGGTAGAACCCAGGTCTCCCGAATTGTAGGCTGATTCTTTACCGCCTGAGCCACTAGGGAAACCCATAAATTACTAATATATTTACATACATTAATAATATATTTACATTATTTATATTAATATATAATTACATGAGGAATATGTAGTGCAAGAAAAAGAAAGAAAATAGTCATTATATTTAAGGTAGTAAGAAATTAATGTGTTGAAATGTAAACACACTTGAGCATGACTATACTTTATAAAGTTGATTCCATCTTGCTTCTAGAATCCCTGCAGTGTTTAATGACACTTTAAGATGTTAAAGCCATCTTCTTTAGAGCTGTACAAATCTCTCACCAGCCAATTAGTTCTTTCTCCCTTCAGGGAGTCATATGCAATTAAAAAAGAAGAAAAAAAAAAACCTGGCTCTTTAGTGAAGATCAAGCAAGAAAGGCTAATATTTATACCATATTGCCTTTCTCAGTTCTTGCTGACAGCTCCCAAGGAAAAAACTAAGCCTACTAAAATCAAACATCTCTAAAGGCCCTTTTGTGGTATTTCTTGCATTTTTTTCAAATTGAAGATGTTTCAAGTCAGTGGGTCTTTTCTGCCACCCTGAAGAACTTGTCAAGATTTCCTTCATCTCTTTCCTGTGTGTGTTAGGTTAAATTTGGAGAATCTCTAAAGGTGTTCTGTCCTGCTTGGTGATAAATATGCCCCACGCTGGTGTGTGAAATAGAATGATGGCATGGGGATCCCGAGGTGTGGTTGGTCGCTCTGTCGTGTCCGATTCTGCGACCTCATGGACTGTAGCCCGCCAGGCTCCTCTGTCCACGGAATTCTCCAGGCAAGAGTACTGGAGTGGGTTGCCATGCCCTCCTCCAAGGGATCTTCCCAACTCAGGGATCGAACTCAGGTCTCCTGAATTGCAGGAGGATTCTTTACCACCTGAGCCTCCAGGGAAGCCTGGGATTCTGGGGAGAGGAATTTCTTTTCATATCTCATGTTGCTGGCTTGGGCTTCATAGAGAACAGATGGATTTTTTTTAGTTTACTCGTCAGCTCCAGTAACTGATAGTCGGGGTCTGGTATGTTTTTCTGCGAAAGCATTTGAAGGGAACCTTTATTTTATTTATTTATTTAGAGATATCCTTGATGTACAATATTATATAAGTTTCAGGTTTACACTATAGTGATTCATAGTTTTTTAAAGGTTATACTCCATCTATAGTTGTAAAGTATTGGCCATATTCCCTGTGTTGTACAGTATGTCCTTGTAGCTTATTTATTTTCTACATGGTAGTTTTGTACCTATTAGTCTCCTACTCCTGTGATTGATAGTCATGGTCTGCTGTGCTTTCCTGGGAAGGCATTTGAAGGGAGCCATTGTTGATTGAAATGTCTGCAGGCCACCGTGGAGTCCTGGTAGTTTGATTGCCTGTGGGTTATATATTCATTGAGGGCGGTTTGAACACCTTTGTAAAAACGGCTATCTTATTGGCAGATATTGTCTAAAACACAAGCTCAGATATATAACTCTTGGACAACTACCTTTTAACAAGTTATAAATTTCTCTTAAGTTGTGAAGCTCTTTCTGAATCTAAGGAAGCTTTAACAACCTCTCCGAAAAGACTTATGGGAATTGGTAGTTCTTGACATTTTTTAGGTTAGCAATCAGTTAATATTTATGTATCCTTTCTTTCAGAAAAACAATAACATGCATTTGCTTTATACCAACAAATATTTTTATGTAGTTCCAAGATGTTTATGGATTCCGGAAAAGCCCATCCAGAGACCCTCATGTTAACAGTCCTTGATAGATCCCACCCAACTCTGGGTGTATATAGTAATTCCTTGCATTTAAGTGGACAAGCACTTTCACATCCACTGTAATCTTTTGTGACCTTTCACATGCATTGTGACCTTCCCTGTAATCCAAAGAGGTTAGGGCTGAGATGTTTAGCTGAGAAAGCAGCTGTTTTCCTACAATACTATCTTTGTAAATTTCTGAACCAACTTGCCTAACCATGATTTTGTGTTTCTGAGACAATATTCATTCTGTGTTTTAGTCAACAAAGATTTGAGGATAACTCATTTGTGATTGAAGGCCTCAGAATCTTCTTAGTGTTTTTCATGCTTCTTGATCATACATAATTGTCATTACAGCTTCAATATACAATTGTATAATTTACAGTATTAGCCAAGGCTTAGAAATAGAACTGCAAACTTTGATGGGTTGAGTAATAGAAGGCAAAATCCTGTTGGATTTATTTTTTACTTTTAATTTTTTAATTGTAGTTGAATACAATATTATGTTAGTTTCAGGTGTACAATATGGTGATTCATCACTTATATACATTGTGAATTGATCACCACTATATGTTTACTATTTGTCTGTTCACCATACAAAGTTAGTGGAACGTTATTGACTATATTCCCTGTGTGGTACATTACATCCCATGATTTACTTATTTTGTGACTAGAAGTTGGTACTCTTTAATCTCCTTCACCTATTTTGTCCTCCTCCCCATTCCTATCCTCTCTAAGCCAAGTCGATTTTTCAAATTTAATTTTCCAGTATCTCACAATTATGAATAATGCTGCAATTTAAACATTGTGCATATGTATTTCCATTTTGTTTGGGGTATATCTTCAGGGTAAATTCCTAGAAGTGAATTATTGAGTTTAAGGATAAATGTTTATGTAAAGTGAAGGAAGTAAAGGTGTTAGTCACTCAGTTGTGTCTGATTCTTTGCGATCCCATTGGTTGTAGCCCCCAGGCTTCTCTGTCCATGGAATGCTCCAGGCAAGAAATCTGGAGTGGGTTACCATTTCCTTTCTCCAGGGGATCTTCCAGACCTAGGGATTGAACCCTGGTGTCCTGCTTTGGAGGCAGATTCTTTACCATCTGAGCTCCAGGGAAGCTAATGTATATGTAATTTTAATAGATATTGCCAGATTTTCTTCTATGAGTGTTATAAGCTCCCCATCCCAAGCACTGTAGGAGAATGCCTATTTCCCACAGACTTGGTACATTGTCATGCTTTTGAATCTTTGCCAGTCTGTTGGGTCTGAAATCGTATTTCAGTGTAGTTTTAATTTGTATTTCACTTACTTTGACTTAGTTGGAAAATCTCTACTTTTAAGAGCTAGCATAAAGCCAGTACCGCAACATAACTTAAAATTGAAAGGTGCTACTCAAGAACATTTTGTGCTTATATTTGGCCAGTCATGTCCTTTGAGCAGGGGCTTCCCAGGTGGTAAAGCACCCACCTGCCAAAGCAGGAGGCAGCAGGAGATGCGGGTTCAATTCCTGGGTCGGGAGGATTCCCTGGTGGAAGAAATGGCAACCCACTCCTGTATTCTTGCCTGGAGAATCCCATGGACAGAGGAGCCTGGCGGGCTACGGTCCATGGGGTCGCAATGGAGTGGGACACTGCTGAGTGACTGAGCATGCATACATGACCTTTGAAGAGACTAAGAACTTCAGTCAGCAGGAGGCCAGTCTTTTCTCTGAGCGGGGGAGTAGGAACTCACGTTAAAGAAAAGAAGGCTTTCTTTGGACAGCTATGCCTTTACATTTTTTTCCATTTTCTCATTGTCCTTGTAGGTTGGCCAGGTTCATGGTGGATTGATGGGAATTATTCAGAGAGCCATGGTCAAGGCTTGTCCACATGTCTGGTTTGAACGCTCAGAAATGAAGGATCGTCACCTGGTTATAAAGAGGTAAGCAGTGACATTACTTGGTATCCATTGGGTTGGCATAAAATCTTGGCCTTCCCGTCAAAGAGGGCAGAGCCAGCGGTACTAAAAGTTAACACTAAAAATAAGGGTTAAAACTAAAATATATGGACCTCTGTTTGTGGTTGGCCATTTCTGGTGAGTCACCTGTCTTAACTGGACTTAAAAATTTTTGAGTTCTGTAGTCATGGTGGTATAGATAATGTGGTTAGAAGACCCATACATTTACATTGCCCTGACTTAGGTATTCCAATCACTGAATTTCTAAAACTGAAAATTACTACCTTGAATGTAAATAATTGGTAACGGTTGGCTGAATAAATAGATGGTTGCTTAAGTATTTGCTGGATGTTATCACTTACAAGCATCTAGAGATTGACAGGCAAAAAGGCAAAATGGTTGTCTGAAGAGGCCTTACAAATAGCTGAGAAAAGAAGAGAAGAGAAAGGCAAAGGAGAAAAGGAAAGATATACCCATCTGAATGCAAAGTTCCAAAGAATAGCAAGGAGAGATAAGAAAGCCTTCCTCAGTGATCAGTGCAAAGAAATAGAGGAAAATAATAGGATGGGAAAGACTAGAGATTTCTTTAAGAAAATTAGAGATACCAAGGAAACATTTCATGCAAAGATGGGCGCAATAAAGGACAGAAATGGTATGGACCTAACAGAAACAGAAGATATTAAGAAGAGGTGGCAATACACAGAAGAACTATACAAAAAAGCTCTTAATGACCCAGATAACCATGAATGGTGTGATTACTCACCTAGAGCCAGACATCCTGGAGTGTGAAGTCAAGTGGGCCTTAGGAAGCATCACTATAAACAAAGCTAGTGGAGGTGATGGAATCCCAGCTGGGCTATTTCAAATTCTAAAAGATGATACTGTGAAAGTGCTGCACTCAATATGCCAGCAAATTTGGAAAATTCAGCAGTGGCCACAAGACTGGAAAAGGTCAGTTTTCATTCCAGTCCCAAAGAAGGGCAACGCTAAAGAATGTTGAAACTGCTGCACAATTGCACTCATCTCACATGCTAGCAAAGTAATGCTCAAAATTCTCCAAGCCAGGCTTCAACAATATGTGAACCGTGAACTTCCAGATGTTCAAGCTGGATTTAGAAAAGGCAGAGAAACCGGAGATCAAATTGCCAACAACCACTGGATCACTAAAAAAGCAAGAGAGTTCCAGAAAAACGTCTTTCTACTCCTGCTTTATTGATTATGCCAGAGCCTTTGACTGTGTGGATCACAACAAACTGTGGAAAATTTTTCAAGAGATGGGAATACCAGACCACCTGACCTGCCTCCTGAGAAATCTGTATGCGGGTCAAGAAGCAATGGTTAGAATGGGATATGGAACAACGGACTCGTTCCAAATTGGGAAAGGAGTATGTCAGGGCTGTATATTGTCCCTCTGCTTATTTAACTTATATGCAGAGTACATCATGTGAAATGCCTGGCTGGATGAAGCACAAGCTGGAATCAAGATTGCCGGGAGAAATAGCAATAACCTCAGATATGCAGATGACACCACACTTATGGCAGAAAGCGAAGAAGAAATAAAGAGCCTCTTGATGAAAGTGAAAGAGGAGAGTGAAAAAGTTGGCTTAAAGCTCAACTTTCAAAAAACTAAGATCATAACATCTGGTCCCATCACTTCATGGCAAGTAGATGAGGAAACAATGTCAACAGTGAAAAACTTTATTTTCTAGAGCTCCAAAATCACTGCAGATTGTGACTGCAGCCATGAAATTAAAAGATGCTTGCTTCTTGGAAGAAAAGCTATGACCAACCTAGACAGTGAATAAAGAAAGTGAAAGTCGCTCACTTTCATCATGAAAAGTGTCTGACTCTTTGCAACCCCATGGACTGTATAGTCCATGGAATTCTCCATGCCAGAATACTGGAGTGGGTAGCCTTTCCCGTCTTCAGGGTATCTTCCAAATCCAGGGATCGAACCCAGGTCTCCTGCATTGAAGGTGGATTCTTTAGCAGCTTAGCCACAACCAACATAGACATCATATTAAAAAGCAGAGTCATTATTTGCCGACAAAGGTCCATCTAGTTAAAGCTATATTTTTTCCAGTAGTCATGTATGGATGTGAGAGTTGGACCATAAAGCTGAGCCCCGAAGAATTGATGCTTTTGAACTGTGGTGTTGGAGAAGACTCTTAAAGAGTCCCTTGGATTACAAGTAGATCAAACCAGTCAATCCTACAGGAAATCAGACCTGACTGTTCATTGGAAGGACTGATGCTGAAGCTGAAACTCCCAATACTTTGGACATTTGATGCAAAGAGTTATCTCATTGGGAAAGACCCTGATGCTGGGAAAGATTGAAGGCAGGAGAAGAAGGGGATGACAGCGGATGAGATGGTTGGATGGCATCATCAACTCAATGGACATGAGTTTGAGCAAGCTCTCGGAGTTGGTGATAGACAGGGAAGCCTGGTGTGCTGTAGTCCATGGGGTTGCAAAGAGTTGGACACGACTGAGCGACTGAATTGAACTGAGAGGCAGACAGAGCTAGTGTTCTTTATGGAACAGGACGGGAAACTTCTGGGTCTTGGAGTGGAGTTAAGCTACCAGAAACCTTTGTTTGAAGCAGCTTTTTGCCTGAGACCTTTAACTGGAGGCACTTGAGTCATTGCTTCTGTAAATATGATGGTGGGCTATGCTTTTAAGAGTGAAATGGTACGTGCCTATTGAAATATCTTTAAGGTTAGAGAACTGTTTCCCATCTTGTGATTATTGAGCAGTGGTGTGCACCCTGGCAGTTGTAATCTATCTCAGCTATGCCAACTCTTACACTTGTTTAGAAAGGGGCCAATTTGAGTTTATTTCCTTTCTCTTCTTATTGCTTTACAATTATACTTGTGTTAGTGGAGAGTAAAGAATACCAAAGAGAGATTGGGATTGATGTATGCACACTTCCATGTGTAAAATAGATAGCTAGTGGGAAGCTGATGTATAGCACAAGGAGCTCAGCTCAGAGCTGTGATGACATAGAGGGGTGGAATGGGGGTGGGGTGGGATGGGGGTGGGGTGGGAGCGAGGCTCAAGAGGGAGGAGTTATATGTATACTTACAGCTGATTCACGTTGTGGTACAGCAGAAATTAACACAATATTGTAAAGCAACTGTATACCAATTTTAAAAAACGTGCATGATTTAATTGAACCTAAAAGAAAGGATACCAAAGAGGATTCCCACCTCTCTACTTTTGAAGGTATAATTTAGATCCTTTATTTTTCTTCACAGACTAAAAGAACATATTGCTCATAAGAAAGAATTACCCATATTAATCTTTCCTGAAGGTGAGAAGTGGGATTGCTTACCAAGTTATGATTGATGACAACAGGTACCCGAAGTATATGGGGAGCTGGATTGTTCTGGAGCTGGCATTCTTAGTCCAGATTTCTGCTGCCCTTTAGGAATGTTATGGCCTCTCTGAGCCAGTAATTCCCTGCTTTCTTATGAGGTTTGATGGAAGTCATGGTACTTTTGGATCTCAGAAGTTGTTTCTGGGAAATAAAGTTTGATGGGCTTCCCTGGTGGCTCAGGTGGTGAAGAATCTGCCTGCAACTCAGGAGACTCGGGTTCGATCCTTGGGCTGGGAAGATCCTCTGGAGAAGGAAATGGCAACCCACTCCAGTATTCTTGGCTGGAGAATTCCATGGACAGAGGAGCCTGGCGGGCTACAGTCCATGGGGCCCCAAAGGGTTGGACATGACTGAGTGACTAACAACTTCACTTTTAATGAACTAAGATAGGTATTGTCCATAACTTTATAAAGGTCCTTATTTTAAAATATATTGAAGTCGCCATTTGTTGTGAAGAAACTGTATCTCTAGAGTAGTTAACAATAAAGTAAAAATTGTTGTCAAACGTGCTTAGAACTGTTGAATTACTACTGCTTAGACAGGAGTTAATTTGTAAAGTGATAGTATTTAAAATATCTGTAATTTTTAAAAAAGTCTGTAACTTTGATGTGACCTGAATATTTTAAATTATTTTATAACAAAATATTTCCTTTTTAAATTGACTGCTTTAAAAAATTTCACTCCCTGCCGATGTCCTTATAGGAACTTGTATCAACAATACTTCAGTCATGATGTTTAAAAAAGGAAGCTTTGAAATTGGAGGAACCATCCATCCAGTTGCCATTAAGGTAAGACAGATTATCCACTCTCACACCCCTCCCCGCCAAAGACAGTGACTTGGTCACTTTATTTTGATATAATTTCAAACTTGAGATTTGTAAGAGTAAGGAATGCTTGTGTGCTCTTTGCTTCCCTGGTTGCTCAGACGCTAAAGAATCTGCCTGCAATGCAGGAGACCCGAGTTTGATCCCTGAGTTGGGAAGATCCCCTGGGGAAGGAAGTGGCAACCCCCTCCAGGATTCTTGCCTGGAGAATCCCATGGACAGTGAAGGCTCATGGGCTGCACAGTCCATGGGGTCACAAAGAGTCGGGCACGACTGAGCGTGTGCTCTTTATTCATATCCACCAACTGTTTACATTTGTCGCATTTGCTAGATCTCTTTCTACTGATACAGATATAGATATGTAGCGGTAGGGGGATACTATGTGCTAAGCCAGTGTCTGGGTACTGAGGACACTGTGATATCAGTATCAGATATATTCCTGCCTTGACCCACCTCCCAGTGAAGTGGGTAGACGGATATTTAAGAATCATGTCTATAACCCTCCAGGCTAAGCACTCTGAGGCTCTAGTCAGGGGAGTTACCTGGCCTGGTTTATTCTTTATTTTGTTTCTTTTCTTTTGCTAAAAGTTTCATTGGAATATAGTTGATTTACAGTGCTGTGTTTGTTTTCAGGTGTTTCGCAAAGTGAATCCACTCAGTTATACATACACATGTATCCAGTCTTTTAGCTTCTTTTCCCATATAGGCTGTTACAGAGTATTGAGTAGGCTTCCCTGTGCCGTGTGGCAGGTCCTTGTTAGTCATCTATTTTATACATATGGTCCTGTGTTTATGTTGATCTCAGTCTCCCAGTCTATCCCTCCCCTCCTTTACCCTCTGGTAACCATAGGCTGTTTGTTTTTTTGGAGGGGGGCAGGTCTGATGGATGTTTGGCCTGTTATCTACTGACATGTAGAAGAGATGCTGCTATTTAATTCCTAACTAGAATGCATTTTCTTTTCTCAGTATAATCCTCAGTTTGGTGATGCGTTTTGGAACAGTAGTAAATACAACATGGTGAGCTACCTGCTTCGAGTGATGACCAGCTGGGCCATCGTCTGTGACGTGTGGTACATGCCCCCCATGACCAGAGAGGTATTGCATAGATAAGAGGTGCTTTATCTAATCAGATGAAGGCGAGAAAACCTTTACCTGCGTGTGTGGGTGTCTCCTTTCCTCATATCAGTTGAATTTGGACTTTCTGCCTTCTCGGCAAATGAGTCATTTAACAAAAATGTATCTAGCGCTCTTCAAAATCACACTGGTTTTAGATCAAGAGACTCTTTTCCATAATAGTTTTTACCATTGTTATTGGTTTATTGAACCTACAGATACTGTAGAATGTTGTATCTTGCATAAGTCTAGTAAAGAGCATAATAAATATATATATGTGATAAAGATATTAAACAAAAAGAGCATTGCATTTTCTTGATGGAACAAATGGTATTTGCTATAATTCAGAATAGAGCATATTTGACTTAAAAATGTGAATATTATACTTTAAAACAAATCTAAATATAATTCTAAATATAATTCAGAATAGAGCATATTTGACTTAAAAATGTGAATATTATACTTTAAAACAAATCTAAATGATTGTGCAATATTTGAAAGCGTTGTTTGAGAACTGTCTTCAGGATGTGCTGGTCATTTTTTATTTCAGGAAGGAGAAGATGCAGTCCAGTTTGCTAACAGGGTTAAGTCTGCTATTGCTGTGCAAGGAGGGTTGACTGAGCTTCCTTGGTAAGAAATTTTTCAGAAGTATTATTACTTTAAAAAATAGATCATTTATTATGCTTTCTAGTTGGAGGTTTAGCTGACATTGACAGTGGTTGATACAGCATAATGATGGCTTAAATAAGATTGAATGTATCTCTCATACTTCATCATAGGCGGCCTAGACTGGTACAACAGCTCATTTTGTATTGATCTCCCATCCTCAGTGTTGTCCAAGACGGCTCTGCCCAGTGAGTACAGAAACATGACTAGCAGGGAAGAACTAAAACAAGAAGAATGCATTCATGTCTTTAAGAGCACAAGCTGGACGTTGGACATGCCACTTCCACTTCTGTTGTTGACTCGAGCTCAAGTCATGTGATGACACCTTGTTGTAGAGGATGCTCGGATTTGTTCTGCTTGGCCCTGTTAGTGGCTCAGTCGTGTCCGACTCGTGGCAACCCCATGAACTGGGTTTTGCCAGGCTTCTCTGTCCATGTAGTGGGGTTGCCATTTCTTTCTCCAGGGGGTCCTCCTGACCCAGGGATCAAACCCAGGCCTCCTGCATTGCAGGCAGACTCCTTACTGTCAGAGCTACCAGGGAAGCTCCTGCTTGGCCATATGTCTTGCTAAAATTTAGGGATCTTTCACTGAAGAAGAAACTGGGATTGGATTTGAGGGAAATGGATCTTTGAAGGCAGGGGGGCAACCTACAAACTTGTTCTTATTTATCTCCAGCTGTAATTATATTAAAGAAAACTTCAAAACTTAATAGGAAATAAGTGGAATATTATAAGTATGGATATCTATGGCTTTAGTTTTGTGTTTTTTTTAAGAAAGATAGAATATAGGTGAGAGTATTTGATCAGGCTGCCAGAACAAGCTCCCATAGACTGGGTGGCTTAAACAACAGAAATTTATTTTGTCACAGTTCCAAAGGCTGGAAGCTCTTTGGTGTGTCTTCTTACATGGGCACTGTTCCTGTCTTGATGGCCCATCCCTGATGACCTCATCTATACCTAATGGACTCCCCAAATCTCCATCTCCAAATTCTGTATTATTGAGGGTCAGGGCTTCAGGATGTGAATTTTGGGGCGCACATGCAAACATTTTGCCTGTGTCAGTGAGGGTTGAATATCACTAGGTTATAAGGGGAGATAAAATTTGTACATATAAAAAAAAAAATTTGTACGTATACACAGACATTGTATTAGCATATTTAGCACAAAAACAGTCCATTCGTTAAGTCCTGTGCGTTTAATAAAGTCCCTGCTATCTATCTATTTGGTGTTTTGAAAACACTTGACTTGAGAAGTTCACTAGAGGCAATTTTGGGAGTGTCGTGGAGCAGGATGTGGCTAGGCAAGTCTGGCTATGAGCTAGGCAGCCAAAACCTTTTGAACCGGCAGAGGTATCCAGGACTGCTTAGGAATTAAGCCTATGAATAAGGGCTGCTTGGATTCTTATATACCCTTTAATGCAAGGGTGGGGGATGTCTCTAAAATAATTTCATCAACTCACGTATCTTGAACACAACTTAATTTCACCCAGGAAAGTCTGTTTCTGGCATCTGTCTTGCTAATAAACAAGCCACTAACTTCTGCAGTGATAACCCATTTCTAAATTCACTATGCTAATTAACAAAGCTGATGGGAGATCAAGATGGTGGAAGCCTTATAGTGGCATCTCTGGAGGGTGGCCTTCTAATTAAATGCCTGGCTGCCCGCTCTGGGGCTGTGAGTTCTTGATTTAGGGCAACTGCCTGAACTGTGGTTAAGATAGGTTAGGACTAACATTCTTATTACACTCTCTAAACTGGAATATGTGAAACTAAATTTCACACATCCTGCTGAAACCAGGTGACTCAGAGTGGGACTTCAATCCACGTGGCCAGGACTTGAACCCTGCCTAAACCTAGATGGGGGCTTGAGCCCACGGTGTTTTAACTAGAATCACTCACCTGATGTCTGGGGTTACTTGAGGCTCAGGTACTTTGTGTCCCAGTGCAGAAGAAATTCAGTAAGAGGCAAAGTGATAGGCAAGAAGTAGATTTGTTACTATAGGAAAGTTGAGGAAATGCAAATGGACAGGTTGCCTGCCTCACAAATTAAGTGGTCTACAATTTTATAATCAAAGGAAAATGAGGGAGAGGAAAAGACTGTCTTCTTTGAGTAGAGGTCAAGCTTATATCACTAGCTCCTCCTTTGTATTGGGTAAGAGAGTGCCTGACCCTACAAGGGTCAGACCTTGCAGGGTCAGACACTATCATAGCTTATTCAAATCAGTAAGAGGGTGGTAATGTTTTTCTTTGACCTAATGACCTGGGGAATGTCTCATGCTTTTTATTTATGACTTTATAGCAAAGCAAGCCTGCTTCATTCCATGATAATCCCATAGTTTTCTTGAGCAATCATTAACTTACAGTGTCTCCCAAAATTTCCTAAGTTTCTCTGTCTATCTATAGTCCCATACTGGGACCTTTACAACTAGCGGTTGCTGTTTAGTCCCTCAGTCATGTCTGACTCTTTGTGATCCCATGAACTGCAGCACTCCAGGCTTCCCTGTCCATCACCAACTCCCAGAATTTGCTCAAACTCATGTCCATTGAGTCGGTGATGCCAACCAACAATCTCATTCTCTGTTGCCCCCTTCTTCTCCTGCCCTCAATCTTTCCCAGCATCAGGGTTTTTTCCAGTGAGTCAGCTCTTTGCATCAGGTGACCAAAGTATTGGGGCATATTCATGGTTGATTTCCTTTAGGATTGACTGGTTTGATTTCTTTGCAGTCCAAGGGACTCTCAAGAGTCTTTTCTAGCACCACAATTCAAAAGCATCAGTTCTTTGGCACTCAACTTTCATATCTGTACATGACTACTAGAAAAATCATAGCTTTGACTAGACGGACCTTTCTTGAGCAATCAGTCTCCCAAAGTTTCCTAGGATTCTGTATCTATTTATAGTCCCCTACCGGGACCCTTACAACTACCTGTATAAGTATCCTATTCTATCCTTATCACTGCCGTCAGGAAATAACAGGCTTACCAATGCTCTAGTTTACAGATGTCTTAGTGACCCATGTTCATATGTATAACTGGCTTCCTCTTCCTCGTCCATTGTTTTCTATTCTTTATCCCCCCTTCCTTTTACTTGACATCCTAGCCCTAATCCTGCCCTGAAGCCATTATGAAAAGCTTAGAGCTTGAGATCTGTAGCCTCAGGTACCAAGGAAAGGAGGAAAGCCTTGCAAAACAAAGAGAGCCTGAGGGAGTTAGCTCCAGGACAGACTGTCCTCAGCCAGACTGGCTTGAACAGAATGACAGAAATGATCCTCATAGTTTTAAAATTGCCTTTTATCAGGCTGTATGCAGTTTTATATATAAAAAAGTTACTTTTAATTACTTAGACTCTTCTTTTAAAAGAAAATAAGCTCACTGCCTTTCCAGTTGTATTTGTCATTCATCTGTTGGGTATGAATTAATATGTCTAGATTTTTCCCCCCCTCGATTAAATGAGAACTTAATTGAATCATCTTTTTAAAAATTATTATGTGACTATTTTTAAAAATTTATTGATTGATTTATTTTCTGCTGGCTCATTGTGGCAGGTGGGTTTTCTTTAGTTGCAGTGAGTGGGAGCTACTACTAGTAGCAGTGAATGAGTTTCTCATTGCTGTGGCTTTTCTTGTTGTAGATGTCGATTAAAAAAGATGCACCCCATGAGAGTTACAAGTTTTATTTAGGGCGAAATGAGGACTGTAGCCTAGGAGATAGCACCTCAGATTGCTCTGAGAGACTACTCCAAAGAGGTAGTGGGGGAAGGTCAATATATAAGATTTTGGTGAATGAAGCACTTTACAAAAGGTTTTCTGCTCGTCGTGAAGAGCTGATGTCATCATGAAGGGACTTAGTGATTTTCTAGACATGAAGAGATGCAAAGATTGGGATCACGAAATCAGTTCCTGAAAACATCTACCTATCTAAAGGCCTGTTCTGTCAGATTCCGTGGAGCACAGAGTGCCTCGCTCTCCACCCTGAACGCCCGCAGGGGTTGTTGAGGGTCAACAGCTGCAGCAGCACAAGGTTCAGTCTCCGCAGAGGCAGATGGCAAATGCTCTTGTTGTTGTTCAGTCCCTGGCAAATCCTCTTGGCAAGTGCCAGTTTGTAGTTGACACAGAGCCTGGGCTCTAGGTGCACAGGCTTCGGTAGTTGCAGCACATGGGCAGTAGTTTGGGGCACGGCTTAGTTGCCCCACGGCATGTGGTATGCTCCCAGACCAGGAATCTAACCTGTGTCCCCTGCATTGACAGGTGGATTCTTAACCACTGGACCACCAGGGAAGCCCTCAATTGTATCATCTTAAACTGGCTTTTATATTCAGCTTCTGCCCTCCTTAAGAACTAAGATCTGCCATTGCAAAGGGGAATTGAATAAAGTTTTGAAGTCTCTATTGGAGTGCTTAGAGCAGTGACTCAGATGGTAAAGCATCTGCCTGCAACGCGGGAGACCCAGGTTCGATCCCTGGGAAGATCCCCTGGAGAGGGAAATGGCAACCCACTCCAGTACTCTTGCCGGGAAAATTCCATGGATGGAGGAACCTGGTAGGCTACAGTCCATAGGATCGTAGAGAGTTGGACCCAACTGAGTGACTTCACTTTCACTTTCTTTAGAAGGGAGATGCTCAGGATTTTCAAGGATAGATGTCGCTAATTGATTTGTTGCCTGTTTTGGCCTGGACCTCAGAAAAGGAGGAATGGCCTTTCCTCTGGCTCTCCCTCCCTTTCTTATTTCTTACCAACCATCCTCGATGGCATCACCGACTCGATGGACATGAGTTTGAGTAAGCTCTGGGAATTGATGATGGACAGGGAAGCTGGGCGTGCTGCAGTCCATGGGGTCCCAAAGAGTCGGACACGACTGAGCGACTGAACTGAACTGGTAACTCAGCTGGTAGAGAATCTGCCTACAATGCAGGAGACCCTGGTTCGATTCCTCGGTTGGGAAGATCCCCTGGAGAGGGGATAGGCTACCCACTCCAGTATTCTTGGGCTTTCCTGGCAGCTCAGACAGTAAAGAATCCGCCTGCAATGCAGGAGACCTGGGCTTGATCCCTGGGTTGGGAAGATCCCTTGGAGGAGGGCATGGCAACCCACTCCAGTATTCTTGCCTGGAGAATCCCCACAGACGGAGAAGCCTGGCGGGCTACAATTCATTGGGTCACAAAGAACTGGACTTGACTGACCGACTAAGCACTGCACACATTGCTTTTATGTGAATTCTGAATAGTAAGGACTGATGTTGAAGCTGAAACTCCAGTACTTTGGCCACCTGATGCGAAGAGCTGACTCATTGGAAATGACCCTGATGCTGGGAAAGATTGAAGGCGGAGGAGACGGGGACGACAGAGGATGAGATGGTTGGATGGCATCATCGACTCGATGGACATGGGTTTGGGTGGACTCCGGGAGTTGGTGATGGACGGGGAGGCCTGGCGTGCTGCAGTTCATGGGGTCGCAAAGAGTCGGCCTCGACTGAGCGACTGAACTAAACTGAACTGAAGAACTAAGAAAGGAAGGGAGGGCCAGAGGAAAGGCCATTCCTCCTTTTCTGAGGTCCAGGCCAAAACAGGCAACAAGTCAATTAGCAACATCTCTCCTTGAGCAGCCAAAACAGGCAACAAGTGAGTTAACCAACATCTGCCCTTGAGCAGATGTTGAGTGGTACCAGGGAAACCCCTAAATGCTGTGTATAGTGAGAAGCATCTCCTGTGGATAAGAGAGGCTCTTGTGGACAATTCTGGAGGTCTCATGACAACTTCTGACCTTATTTCATGGAAATTTCCTACAGCTGGCCCCCTGGAAGATTTGTGGGCCGAAGTCCATTTTTAAAGTTGAGGACTTCGTGGTGGACCATGTCTTAGTTTTGACTCTAGAGGCCTGAACATTACAGCGGACTCAGGCTGCCTTCTGTTTGTAGGTCAAGTTCTGTCTTCATGGCATTGAGTTCACTGGCTAACCTATGAAACTCCCATCATCATTAGAGAGCACTTGGTAAACATTCATGCTTAGCTGGGTTAAAATTAAACAGGCAGAGTATAAAGTAAGCACTTTCTTGGTCCATGGTCTCCTGGGAATTAAAATCTAAAGTGTGAGATTAGGAGTGGATCTGATAATCTAGTTTTCTTCCAGGTCTTCCAACTTGTTTCTTTGTATTGTCAAAAGAAGGAAAGACATACACAATCCTTTTAACTTTGGCAGGTCTGATTTTTACTACCCTGGAGAGAGTTCAAAGATTCACAGGCTCTGAATTAAGGAATGCTGCTTACATAGGCCCTGTGATTTGTTGAATGCCATTTATGTTTTTGTTTATTTGATTTATTTTGAGTCTCTTTTGGAATATGGAAGATTATCAATACTTACAATAGAGCACTTGGAATCAAAACATGACTTGTTAGACACAGGATTAGATTTGAATCATGAGCCCATTTCTTTTTGAGGAATTTACCCCCCCACCCCCACACATAGCACCTTCATCATTTCTTATATGTATATTTATAGTGAGACCAGGGAAGCCCAGTAACTCAGATGGTAAAGCATCCGTCTGGAATGCAGGAGACCTGGGTTTGAAACCTGGGTCAGGAAGATCCTCTGGAGAAGGAAATGGCAACCCACTCCACTGTTCTTGCCTGGAGAATCCTATGGACAGAGGAGTCTGGTGGGCTACAGTCTATGGGGTTGCAAGGAGTTGGACATGACTGAGCAACTAACATACACATAGGCTGATTTAGATGAAAAGATCTGGTACTTGTCTTTCCTTGGGGAAAAAAGATAGGTAAACAGTCCGAGTTTTAATATCACATCCAAATATGGAAGATAGCAGCCCTAACTTCTAAAAAGAAAGTGAGCAGTGAAATTGTGCTTAATTCTTACCAAACATCAAAGAGATTGTTCCTTCAAGTAACACAGGTCTGATTGAGTGGTAGAGCAGAGACTGAAGCCTGGGTTTTTCTGCTTCCAGATCCGCTGTACTTTGCCTCCTCTCTGAGCATCTGCTCAGCACCATGGCACTGTGCAACATGTGTGAGTAGGTAACCCTTTGAAATCACTGCTGGGAGTATTTATGTGTCTTTCTGTTCTCAGGGATGGAGGGCTGAAGAGAGCCAAGGTGAAGGACACCTTTAAGGAAGAGCAGCAGAAGAATTACAGCAAAATGATTGTGGGCAATGGATCTCTCAAGTCGGAATTGGACTGAATGCCATGCAGGCTTTCTAGAGCTAGTCCTTAGAAATGGAACAGGGTGGAGTTTTTTTTTTTGACAAGGGGAAGAAGGAAGTGCGTTGTTTTGTTTTACTTTTTTTTTTTTTTTTAATTGTTAACCTTTTCTACAGGGTGGTTGTCTCTACCTCCTCTTGCCAGAGGCGGAACCTCCGGTGCCATTTTTGGCTTTTGTTGTTAAAGCATTAGCCGCATGAACGGTAAAGTTGTGTGCTGAGTTTGAACTGATTCTGCCTTTTGTGAAATGACTGTGGCCTTGTGGATGGAATGAAATATTTGTACTGGAAAAAGCTCTTCTAAAACACTTTGGGAACTCATTGTGTTTGGAACTCATTGAGAGGGCACTTCTCAAGAAAATACCCCACACTTTGTTCATGATTCGTTTTCACATGCCCTTCCCTTCCCACTTTCCTTACTCACTTAAACAAGGATTGCGCATTAGGTTCGAATGGCTGTATGGTTTTGTTCTACTACAAGGTTGAAAAGAAAAATGGAAGACAGTCTTTAGGAGAAAGGACAGCTTTGTGGCCCCTTGATCTGAAAGTTGAAAGGAAATTAAATATTTTTTACTGGCGTGTTAGAGGAGACATCCTATTTGGTGAACTTTACCAAAGAAAAGTGAATCTACGTTACAGTGAGTTCATGTTTATATGTAGGTGACTTTCAAATAGACCTGTGTTAGCCAGCAATCAGTGATAAAGCTTTTAGTTTTCCATGTTTCTATAGTAAAGATCTCTACCTGATGCCTCTTGCATCTACTGATTTGTTTGATCCATGTCACCAAACACATTTCAAAGAGGAAGAGCCTCTGACAACCACCACCAATCACATTGAGCGTCTTCCGCAGAGGTGGGGGTGTTGTGAGTGAAGTGTTTGGCGCTGTTCCTCCCCATCACCCCTTTGTCCTTTATTTCAGAACTTTGCCATTTTCTTAAACATGAAAATAAGTGGTAAAATTACCTTTTGGAATCTGAGCCTTAAATCTTTTGAAGGGGAAAATCAATGTTTCCCGACTGCAGCATAAGCAATGTTGATAGCAATATAGTGCCATCAGAGTGTTATTTCTCTTCTGGGAACCATGTACAAAATGTGACACTGTCTTACGGTGAATATAAATAAATTCTATATTTCTAAACGTGTGTTGCATTATTTTCTCTGTACCTCAGCTCTCTTGCCTTCTTTTGATTTTGAGTAAGTTAAATTTTTTCACATTACAATCAAGGATTGTTTGTTTTTTCATTTCAGTGACATAGTTGGATTTTATTCAACTGGAACGGCTGGAAAATGAGAAACATGTACTGTTGGTTTTGCTGTGTTTTTTTTTTCTCTCTTTCTCCTTTTGTTTTTAAGCTAAGTTGTCTGGACTCTGACTCTTGGACCTTGTCTTGAGCAAAGACATAGACTTCAGTTGTTTTGCAAATAAACTCAGGCACTACTCTCTTAACTGAGATAGGCCTGCCCCAGCACAATCAATGTGTATTCTTCTCATCAAGCTTTATGGATTTGGTCCCAAAGGAAAATTTGTGAACAGGTGACCGTCACGGTCAGCTAGCCTTCTCTTCTTACTTTCCCCCATCTTTTTCCTTTGTTCTTGCTTTAACCTTTGCCCCCACACCCCCAAAAAACTCTCTTGAGGGTAAGCTTTGACCCCAAATCAGTGAATTTGTATGTTGAGGTGACTCTGTTTTTTTCTCAGAAGATTTCCTTTTTCTTTTTGCTTGTCATATTCAATACAGCTTGAATTAATAAACTCATTCTATTAATTAGGTCAATTCTCAGAAAAGTTGGTAGAACAACTAATAGCCCTTTTGTTTGGATACTGATAATATGTATCTTTCCAAGGGCACCATGAAAGCAATCATGCTATCACACATTCACTAGAAAATCTAATGCTGTTTTTTTTTGTGTGTGTGTTTTTTTTTTTTTTAATCAGAATACAATTGCTTTACAATGCTGTCTTAGCTTCTGCTGTACAAGGTGAATCAACTATATGTATACATATATCCTGGAGAAGGAAATGGCAACCCACTCCAGTATTCTTGCCTGGAGAATCCCATAGGCTGCCGTCTGTGGGGTCGCACAGAGTCGGACACGACTGAAGCGACTTAGCAGCAGCTTCCCTCTGGAGCCTCCCTCCCCTGCAAAACCCACCCCCACCCCCCACCATTCCACCCCTATAGGTCATCACAGAGCACCAGAACCTTTGTCTTGTAAGTTTTTGACTTATACAACTAGTTTTCAAGTTGTTTTAGGAATTACAGTATTACTGAAAGCATGTTTTTAGAAAGCAAATACTGCTCAGATTTAGCTTATGTTCCCTAGAATACCTGTTTTGTTTTTTTGACTTGCCTTTCTTTATATTATTTTATACCCACTTTTAGAAATATTGTGCCCAGAGTTTAGTATTCTTGGGACTTCTGTAACTATTGGTGTATGAAGGGTAAGCAGGAATTGGTAGAAAAAAATCCCATTAGATAAGCCGTTTCATCTGACTCTTTCATGTAACACAGATTCATTCGTTGAGTCTTGTGAAGGGCCATCACCTAAAAAAATGTGACGGCCCATTTTTATTCTTACCCTTTGTCTCGGTGACCTCTATACACCAAGGGTTTCTGAAACATCCTGGCACATACTGGGATTTGATGAGCAGCCATGTCTGAATCAGCAAATAATCCTCAGAGCACAGGGGAGACAGTCCTGGATCACAGCCTGGTGCAAAGAACCGTGGTGAGGAAAGTTTTCTAGCAGAGACAGACTTGCTAAGGTCTAGTCAACTTCTTGGTGATTTGCACATGCTGCATTTCAGACATCTACTGATACCTGGAAATACACAATAAGGGCTGTTGGTTTCTCGTGCCTACAGATAATGTCCTGGGGTTATGAGGGCCACCTCTGCATCAGAGTTGCTTTCAGTAGCTGTTTCTGAAATATGATACTTTTAAAAGTGTGGTACTGCAGATCTAACCTGTTTCTTGCTGGGTCTGAGTGACGTATTATGAACTTGACAAAAGCTGTGTGCTTGCTTTTTGTTTTTTTTTTTTTTTTGAATACTGGGTTCCAATGGATAGATGCTACTGGTATTTGATGTTATTTTTTGGAGAAATGGTTAGGATGAGATAAAGAGTCATAAAGACATTTTCTAATTGTGACTGTAGCACTCATCAGCTTTTCAGCCTTTGACCAATTAATGCTCTGATTCTCATTTGTCTTTTTATTTATTGTGAAATTCTAGAGCATGCACAAATGTACATGTGTACGTTTGTGTGCAGGTGCACTTTAAGGGCAATGATAAAAACAGATACTTTGTTGTTGGCATGTTTGTTACCAAGCCAATGAGTGGAAAATGACTGTATCCTGGAAGGTATGAAAAACTCACCAGCTATTCCATTTGTAGGCAATGGACAGTAGGGTTCTTTTCAGTGTATTGAGACATGCTTGTATATCTCTTGGTAGACATGCTCAAGAGTTTCTCTAGTTGTATGTGTACTAGGAATTAGGATTGCTCTCAGTTCAGTTCTGTTCAGTCGCTCAGTCGTGTCCGACTCTTTGTGACCCCATGAACTGCAGCACCCCAGGCCTCCCTGTCCATCACCAACTCCCGGAGTCCACCCAAACCCACGTCCACCGAGTCGATGATGCCATCCAACCATTCTCATCCTCTGTCATCCCCTTCTCCTGCCCTGAATCTTTCCCAGCATCAGGGTCTTTTCCAATGAGTCAGCTCTTCGCATGAGGTGGCCAAAGTGTTGGAGTTTCAGTTTCAACATCAGTCCTTCCAATGAACACCCAGGACTGATCTCCTTTAGGATGGACTGGTTGGATCTCCTTGCAGTCCAAAAGACTCTCAAGAGTCTTCTCCAACACCACAGTTCAAAAGCATCAGATCTTTGGCGCTCAGCTTTCTTTATAGTTCAACTTTCACATCCATACACGACTACTAGAAACACCATAGCTTTGACTAGATGGACCTTTGTTGGCAAAGTAATGTCTCTGCTTTTTAATATGCCATCTAGGTTGGTCATAACTTTCCTTCCAAGGAGTAAGCGTCTTAATTTCATGGCTGCAATCACCATCTGCAGTGATTTTGGAGCCCAGAAAAATAAAGTCAGACACTGTTTCCACTGTTTCCCCATCTATCTGCCATGAAGTAATGGGACCGGCTACCATGATCTTAGTTTTCTGAATGTTGAGCTTTAAGCCAACTTTTTCACTCTCCTCTTTCACCTTCATCGAGATGCTCTTTAGTTCTTCCTCACTTTCTGCCATAAGGGTGGTGTCATCTGCATATCTGAGGTTATTGATATTTCTCCCGGCAATCTTGATTCCAGCTTGTGCTTCTTCCAGCCCAGCGTTTCTCATGATGTTCTCTGCATTTAAGTTAAACAAGCAGGGTGACAATATACAGCCTTGACGTACTCCTTTTCCTGTTTGGAACCAGTCTGTTGTTCCATGTTCAGTTCTAACTGTTGCTTCCTGACCTGCACACAGGTTTCTCAAGAGGCAGGTCAGGTGGTCTGGTATGTCCATCTCTTTCAGAATTTTCCACACTCTAGGATAGGGTATAAGCATTTCAACCTTAGTGTTGAAACAGCCATCCATTTTCAAAAAGGTTCTACCATTTTACACAAATTGTACTATCAGCAGTACATGAAAGCAACATTTACATTTAGTGTAGTAACATATTTGAATTTTATTTTTAATCTTATTTTGTGCTGTCTTGTTGTTTGTTGTTTTGTCGCTAAGTCGTGTCCAGTTCTTCTGCAACCCTGGGGATTGTAGCCCGCCAGGCTCCTCTGTCCATGGGATTTTCCAGGCAAGAATACCAGAGTGGGTTACCATTTCCTTCTCCAGGTGATCATCCCAGACTAGGGATTGACTCCGATTCAACTGCATTGGCAGGTGAGTTTTTTACCACTGAGCCACCAGGGAAGCCCTGTTCTCTTTCTTACATTTTTAAAAATAGCTCTCTCTCTCCTT